CTAATTTTTTGTAAGGATGATCTATGAATGAAGACCTAAAAAATAGATGGTTTGGATCATTGGAAAAAAAATTGTAGGGTACCCTAAAGGGCGTCCCTCAAATAAAATTATTTGAGGGATCCCTCAATAGAAGGGGACTGTATATATATATATATATATCTATATCTAATTTTGTTTTTAATTTTAATTATTTTTTAATATAAAAAGTGTGAATTTATCATATTATCATCATTTAATTAATAATTTCAATTCTCAACGTTTGCATTAACCAATAGTATTTTATCTTATTTTTCATGTTTCACCATCTCTACCTTTTGTTGTATACATAGTGTATCAAGATTATATAAAAGTTTCATTAAAAATAATAATACACATATTTTTCATTTGAATAAATATGCTACAAAATATGATTGTGTTTATATTGGTTCAAAATTTCAATATGATTATTTATCATAAAATTCAAGATTTCTGTGATAGGTAGAATATAATTTTTCATCAAAGAAAGATTACAGCTTTAAAACCTTCAATTACTGATATAATTTATGCTTTGTTTTAGTTTTATTATTGGGACTTCTCAATAACTTCTCTATTTTGCAAAAGCGACAAATTGCTAATCCCAATTGACAGTTCCAATGTGTACAGTGTTATTTGAATGAATGTTATATATGACATATCTCTTGTGCATTTTCAAAACAGCAGGGGATGACTTTGCTTCACCAAATGGACAAAATAATCAACCAATCAGTATAAAAATATGTGAAATCCGGATTCTAAGAAGGCTGTATGACTTGGCTTTTTATTTTATTTTTATACAAGTGATATTTTACTTTAATTTAATTTAAATTACAAGTAGGGGATTCGAACTTAAGTGCATAATGGAGAGCACATCCGCTCTAATTAACTTGGCTAAGCCCATGTATGCAGCTTGGCTTCTTATATTTTGAGACGGGTTCAAATTGTGTACCATCCTTTCTTGCACATGGAGACAACCTTCACCATTTTCATTTTCTCCATCTTCTACTTAGCCTGCTCCTGCCGTTTGATTCAAAAATATTTGAATTAGATGGGAGGAGAGCACTGCATACCTTCTCCGAGTACTCGTTTCTTTTTCGTACGATGTTTTCGTATATGGTCTTGAGAATCTAGCTACTTATACCACCTTAACCTATTCTAAACTTACCAAACCGAGCTTAGCTAAAAGTGGTTGACATGGAAGAATTAGTGACATTCTGGAGAGAGTGGACTGTTTCTTTTGATGGTTGATCAATGGGTTAGTGTGATCTGCATAGTTCTAGTTAACATATGTCATAACAACTCCAAAAGAAATTACAATGTGTTTTCATAATAACCAAATGCTGTTGTTGCTCTCTTTCATCTAGGCTTTGAATTCGAAGTTGGATACTTTTTCACGCTCTGAATCCATATGCCGTTTCTTTTTTTCATAACTAAAAACAGTAAAAATGTGGTTTATAACCAAAGGATGTTTGCTGTCTTCTTTTTCAATTTTAGGCTTTGAAGTTGGGGTCAAAATTAAGATTGGAATATAGTAATTAGTTTTGGTTGTTTAGGTTTTTTTTATGTTCTTATACAAGTGATATTGGGGGAGGAGAGGAGAAAATCGATTCTAGGACCTTAAAAACAAAGTTAAATGCTCTTAATCACTTGAACTATAAATTCATTGCACCAAATTACAGGATCTTTTTTTTTTTTAGGACTATTCCTATTGAGAGGGGCGATAGTACACTAAACTCACACACTACACGAATACAAAAAGCTTCGATGTTATTAGGAGTGGAGCTATTCATTATATGAGACTTTCTATTTTGTTAAGTTTCTGATATGGGACTGTGTGTATTCTTCAATTATCCTCTTCATGTGGGACCACTTTTTAGTGGGCCACACGTGCAACCAATTCCACATTGGTCACCTTATTATTATTATTATTTAAATTTGGGTTTGTTTGATTTTGATTCAATTTGGAGGTTTTTGTTTGATTTGGGTTTAATTGTACCCAATCAACTGACCCACTCTAATGTCATGTTAAGATTTCAGAGGGACGGACCCTTGACCTACCACTAGTTACATTGATATTGTCCACAACTTAACCACCTATTTAGCAAGTGTGAGGTTTTATACAAAAGACCTCGATGTTATTATGAGTAGAGTCATTCATTATATAAGACTTTCTATTTTGTTAAGTTTCCGATGTGAGACTGTGTGTATTCTTCAACAAACAGGAGCGAAGCTAGGATTTTATATTTGAGGGGGCCAACATGTTAAACACAAAAAGTTTAGTTGTATAATTTTTTTTTTTTTGGCCTATTGAGTAAACTATTGCGTACAAAAGCATTGAATTGAAATGAGTGGTTTTCTTTCATAAATATAATATGCTTTTACTATTATATTCATATTAAAATACAATTTTTACAAGTATTGATTTGTGGTGAGGGGGCCATAGGCTTAAGTATATCAATTTTTCTTTGCATTTGTTACCACATCCAATATATACATTCAAAAGGGTTAAATAAATTGGAGGGGCCAGGGCCATCCCAAGCCTTAGTACATCTCCGCATCAATAGAACCTTCTTGGAGGAGCAATTGCTTCAAACCATTACACCAGTGGATTCTTTACATAGTCCTTTTAAGTATACATTTTTAATATAAAGAAAAAAAATGATCAATAATGCATAAGGACAAGTGTTCCATGTGCAACACACAAAGTTCTGGCATGGATTGTCTGCATTATTTTATTGCTGACTTATGTCGACTCTCTAAGTTCCTTTTATTAGATTTCTGCTCCATCTAAACATTGCTAAACAAATGAAATTAATTAATGTAGGCTCATTGTTGTGTTATAGGTGTAAATCAATAGAACAATTGCTTGCATTTTGCATGGGACAATACTACAACATTCTGAAATCATTAACTTGTCTATCATTCAAAAAAAACATCCACCGTATTGTTATAAACAACAGTACACATTAGACACCAGAAACTAAAGCCCCTCAAGTGAGAGGAAAATATACAGGTATAACCTTACTCTTTGCAAATTGATAAACAACTAGGGATCAATCAAGAATTGGACATCAGAGGTCTCATTATATTCCTGTGACTCCTACAACTAAAACCCTAATATCATGTTAGACAATCATTGCACCCTTTAAAAATCCTAACTGTTATGAAATGAGCAAAATGAACAGAAATATGGCATCGATCCATGACCTCGTTTTCCCAAGTCACCGATAGAGAAGAAATAGATAAGCAATCACCAGACTAGACCTTATATTTTGAGGTTGGTCCGGATTCTGTACCACCCCTTCTTGCAAACGCCGACGACCTTCCATCCGTGTTGTTCGAAGAAAGATCGAAGATCTTTGCTTGTTTCCTTCATTTGTCTACGCAGCTGTCCCATACAAATAAAAAATTGCAAGCCTCGAATTTAAATGGCGTCTTTGTAGCTCTGTTTAGTCAAATTAATGCACTTTGCTTATGGCTATATATGTGAATGGTGGAATATGCTTGTGGCTATTTTTAATTCAAATGTTACGTTGCGATCACCACCAATAAAATTAGGAGGTTCAGTTTTGGTGGAAGCTTATTCAGTGGTTTGCTATTTGGCATTATCAAACTATAGAAGGTTCCAGCCCTTTTCTCTGTTTGGTTTGGAGGCTTCGAGGCGGTCTTATTTTAAGTGCGTTCTATTACTTGAAATTGCTTAACAAACAATTTATGGGGTGTATTCAATTAAGATTTTAATAGATTGTAATTACAAAATTATAATGTAATGGATTTCAGCTGGATTTGTAATTACATGATTTTACTTATGATTTTAATATATTGCAATTTTCACTGATAGGATTTTTTTTGTATTCTCCAAAATAAATTTGCCCAGTGTAGATTGGATTCGGGTTAGCCACGTTCGCCTAAACCCATGACCACTCCCAGTTTTTGTCAAGACTTGGACCAAAAATTGTGGGGTAAAAAACACACTTTTTTTCAGCTGCCTGTGGCATAATCTCATATTTGGTTTGCTTGTAGCTTTTTGGGCAACTGATACTTTCAGATCTGTACTCCTCCTTTATACTTCACCCTCATTTTTTCTCATATTTTTCATTTTTCTCTCTTTC